GGGTAGTATTAATTTAATTTAATTGTCAATCAACCCTGACCACCATATTCTTCTTTTTTCTGGGCAAAATATTGCGTTAAAAATGGGAAGAGAAAAATCTCCTTCAGCTCTTCCACTAAAAGAAACTTCCAACTCTGATGAAATCTTCATGCACCACAGCATACACTTCACTCACAGCTTGAAGGTATACATATATGTATATGTATATGTATGTATGTGTGTGTGTGTGTGTATTTCGATCTGTTAAATTACATACATGATTTATTTCTAGTTTTCTTTTATCTTTTTTTAATTTTAAATTTTATCTGCAGGAGTTGAAGAGTCTAAGGGAGCAACTGTACTCTGCAGCAGAGCATTTTGAGTTGTCTTTTGGAGAAGATGAACACAAGCATCTGTAAGTGACTTCAAATTGTTATATGCTGTGGGAGATTATTTTTTTTAAAATAAATAAATCTGGGATTAATTTATTTTTTAAAAATAAAACTAAAAATAAAAATCCCATTGTTATTGTGAAAAATAAAAATATAGAGTGGTGAATAGCCTGAAAGATTATGTGAGCAAAGCAGTGATAAGCACAGTGGATCACTTGGGGTGTGTGGCATCTAAACTGGACACTTTCTTGGATGAAAAAGTGGATCAATTTTCTACCACCCAACTTAGATTTTCTTCCATTGAACAGGTAAGGTACCCACACACTTTTCTTTTTCTTTCTTATTTTTACCCAAAGGTCCTACTCCCTTCGCCCCAAAAAAATTACTACAGTTTGACTTTTTTGGTCAAATTATACAATACTTTGACCACAAATTATGAAAAAATATCTAGTTATAATGTAAACTTAGTAAAATTAGGTTCGTTTTAAAATGTAATTTTAAAATCTCAAAATTTTTTTACATTTAATTATTTAAAGTTATGTTTAATTTATGACCAAAATGTTACACGGTTTGATCAAAAAGTCAAACTGTGGTAATTTTTTATTTTTTGACGGAGGCAATATATTTTTATACTTCCTCCCTTCCTTAGGATTGAATATTTCACCTAGTTTTAGACAAGTTGTACAGGGTTAAAAAAGACTTTATCTAAAACTAGTAATGCTAGAATTGGAAGTGTAAAGAATACAAAGGGACGAAGGGAGTATTTGGCGAATTTTGAAATGGCTTAACACCACTTACAAATGCTTAATTAACTTGAAGAACAGAAATCGAGATCACACCAGCAACTCATCGACCGGAGCGGGCTGATCCAAAATTCGTTCCTTGTCGCAGCACCAAAGTATCAGAAACACTATTATACTAACTCATGTAATTATTCAGTTTGTACCCATTATATATATGCATTTGTTTCTCCCAATAATAGGAGTATTATTAATTATTCGTGTTTGTTTTTCAAAACTTTTACTCTTTAGCTGTGACGGGTAAAATGTGTGGCTCTCGCAAATGGGATGAGAAATATACTAAGGAATGCTCAATGTATGTTGAAGAAGATGATATGCAACCAAGGGAAGGTATAGTATATGCTGAAATAAATAATTTAATCACTTTTTCTCTATCTGTTTTTAAAATAGAATATGTAGTCTAAAATATTTTTATCCTTTAAACAAATTATATCCACCCACTTTTTTTAATCTCTCTGAGGTCAAAGTGGACAAATTAATTTGGGACGAAAAGAGTATAAGATATTGTATGGCTAAGAAATGTGGGTTTGCCTTTGACTTTCAGCTTATCAAAGAGGAAGTAAAGCAAAGGGACATCGTCCTCCCCTACCGAGGTACATTTATTACTTCAATAACTAACAAATGCCACCCCAAAAGGACAGACACATACTTCTCATGGCAGTGCCTACTTATTATTAGGACACCCAAAATAAAATGTTGAACTAAGGTACCCCAAACTTTTATTTCTATTAAGGGTATATGAGCTTCATAAATGTGCTCTACCAAACAAACAAGGCATTCATAAATGTAATCAATTCTCTGAAAGTCCAATTCCAAAAGTTTGGAATTTTTAAATGCCACCACTTTTACAGAAAGGGTTGAACCCCAACCCCTAGGTCCCCCCCCCCCCCGGTACCGGCCCGGACAAGGCTGAGAGAAGGTAAATGAACTTATAGTGTTAGTATGGTTGATAAGGAGTGAGGTATGTCCCTAGTGCGTAAAAGAATCCCATGTAGAGCATGATGATTCTTTATCGTCATTGCCAGGAGTCAAACTTGAATTTACCCCTTTTGGCACTCACCTCTCAACCACTTGACCTACGCCACCGGGCTGCCACCAATTTTACCTTTTCCAAGTCCACTTGCTCTGAAAGTGCACTTTTAAAAGTTATTGAATTTGCAGTCAAATTGTGTTTCTTGATATTACACTCTTTTTAACCAAAGCATAACTTAAAAACTTCCAAGAACAAAAAGCACCGCCACCTTAACAATGTAGCATTTCCATATACTTGCGAGTTAACCTTGTAACAGTATTAGTAGCTTAGAAAATCCTTCCAAAATATTGCAGGAGGAATCACAAGCCATCAACAGTAGAAAACTCTCAAAATCCACAGGCTTTTTCGTTTATGAGAGTTGCATCTAACAAAGAGGGAGGTAAGCACACATATGTACATCTACTCTATTTTTCTTATAAAGCAAGGACAGATTGATACCAATATAAAAGTATAAAACCTTACCTTACATTCGTATAGGGAAACGGTCACATTCTCCACTTAGGTTTATCCTCAAGCGTTCTGGGTCAAATGCTAACAGATCGGCGTCTCCATCTGCTTGCAATCGACAACAGGTAAGGCTTATTATTATCATTATTATAATAATGGATTTCTGATCAGAACCGTCGATAGAGGTATAGAGAGCTAATGGCTGTCTTGTGTGATTGCAGCACATAGATCAGGCAAAAACCAATCAACAAGATTTGCAACTCCAATCTAAAAAGACCAAACATATGCTCAAAGCACTGCTTAGCATCCACAGATCACAAAAGGGGGTAGCATCTAGATACCGCGATGACATGTGAAAGAGGAAAGGAGTCATAAAACAATTTTCCATGCTGGACACGGATTGTATTGTGTATCTTTTAGCTAGCTGTGTTGTTATGTTCTTGAGAATAAACCCTTGAACGTGTTACATTGGTTAAAATGCCACACGATGTGATAATGTGTAAATATAAATGTTGGGACTTTATACATTGTATTGGCTCCCATATAAATGGGGATTTTTACTTTGCACTACTTGAGCTCAAAACCCGAGATCAAAACTTGGGAAGTCATTGTCTTTCCTTGTGCTTGTGTTGAGCTCAAAACTGTCTTTGGTGTCACAGTCCACAGCCATTTCAAAGGCAATTGAGTCGGATTTCACAGAGCAAAGTGATTCTACTTGACACTCTTTTGGCTCTTGAAAATGTTTCATCACCCCGAGAGCACATCCGAAGGACTTCTCTTCTCTTTCCATTTTCACGCTTGCAATTGCTTCCTCTTCTTTTCCATCTGACATGCCTATTTCTACAGAACTCTCATGTCGGGCAGAGAAAGCCTTCTGTATTAAAAGTAATAGGGAAAAGAAGAGGGAATTAGAAAAGAAAACGGTAGTGTGATAGAGACTCGCATAAGGTTTGTAAGAGTTTACCTTCATGGACAGATTAGTGGGAAGGTCATCCGTTGATGCTCCTTGTGTTTCACGAGTTTCGTTTCCTGCGCGGGTACAATCAAATCACAGCACTTGCAATGAATTACAAAATCTGCACTTCTTAAAGTCTCATGTCAAGTTAGTTCGATTAATAAAAAAGAAAATAGAGCTTGCCTCTGGAGGAGACAGATTCTGAAAAAATCTTGCTTTTAGTTCCAGACGAATTTTCAGGGTGTGATAAGTCAACATTTGCATGTTTGCCACAAGGGGTGGTGTCTGTAATGCTTGTTTCTTCTTCTTTGCAAACTATCTTCTCCTTCGATGATTGCCTAGTCTTTTCCGTAGAGGCACTTTCCATTAAAACAATGGGTTTCTTTAGAATAGATAAGATTTCGCAAGCTGCAAAGAGGTACAGATTGTAGTAGAGTATACATACATTATAGAAAGGTATGTTTGCCGAAACCATGCCCCCACCCCGTTTACAAAACCACCAAACACATTAACAACCCACAGTGCCAACAGTGATGTGGTCTATTCAACAGGATTATACCACAAGAAGCATGTGATTTGTCATAACTTACCAGCGCGTACATGCTTCTTGTCAATTCCTGAGCCCATTGTAGAGCTTGCGAGAGTCGAGCTTCTAGTGTTAAAATTTATGTCCTCAGGCAAGGAAGTTATATTTTGAGCTTCACCTGAATTTGTTAAGATTTAACAAGAGTTCAAATAAATCCTGGAGAAGCATTCTTGATTCCAAGACAAAACAGACCACAATACAAACTTATTTGGGACAGTAGTCATTTTTACAGTGAATTATGCTACACCAAAAAGGTCCCACAAAACTATTGAACCATTTGTGATCCGAGTAGTATATTTGAAATTTAAGGATGCCGGTAATGGCAATGCATATAACCAAATAAACGTACCATTATGCCTAAGTATACTGCATGAAGAGCAGTTATATGTACTCTTTAGATGAGCGTAAAATGATCCTGGCCGATTATTGATTTTATATCCCGTTTGGTACACACATTAACACATAATAAGTTGGTTTTGACTTATTTGACTAAAATGGATTTTACACAATGCTTTTCTTATCAGGGAATTCAGCATATCAGTCATATCAGCCAAATAACCCTTACCATACTGGCTCTAAGATGGTACAGAGAACGAAAGAATAAGCCAAAAAAAGAGAGGAAAGCTTAGTGTGTTTACGGAGTCAATAATGCTTACTGTGGAATGTTGCTGAATCACTGCCAAGAGAAGGATTTTTTGCAGCGATACTCATACTGAATCTTTTAGAGATTGAAATATTATTTTTATGAGAAAAATCACCACCACGTTGAGGTTCTGTTTATTCAAAGAAGAAACAAAAATGTACACAGGTATTAATGCCAGCAACTATGAAGAGTGCCAAATATAGGCACTGACCATTTTTCCATGCAGAGCAGAATTAGATACCTTTTTGAATTGTGTGAGCATCACCAACATCGACTAAATAATTTGGTAGATTCAATGTAACTCCAGTTTCCACATGTTCAGATGATTTAAGGAACCTTCGGCCTAGTGTGTTACCCTCTTCTGTGAGCAGAGTGACCTGCATTGCATATAGAATTTGTTAAAAAAATAGATTTTCATATCTAAAGGATACAGAATCTGATAATGATTTCATCTATCAAATGGGGTGCTTGGAAAACAACATACTCCCTTCGTGCCCAAATTAAATGCATGGTTTTACTTCACGGAGTTTGGAAATGCGTCAAAGAGTAAAATGTGTGGTTGGAATAGAGATAGAGATAGAGAGAGTGAGAGACAGAGACAGATATTAAGAACCACATATTCCATTCTTGAAAAGGAAAGTGGAGAGGTACAAACTTTATTTTTGAACGGACGGAAGAGGAAAATGTGAATTTAATTTAAGAACAGAGTAAACTAAAATTTCAAAGATGAAATTAAATGTGAATTTATTTTCAACTTATGCAGTTTTTTCGGCATTTTGGCCCAAAAAACATTTTTTATTGGCCAAAATGCTAATTAAGGTGTCTGACAAATTAGCATTTTGAATTAGCAAAATAATTTTTTGAAAATACTAATGGGATTTACATATTGATAACATCTTTTTAGTTTTAATTGTTAGCATTTTGCAATACCAAACATCTTTTTTTAAACTACTTGTCAAACCTGCTACATTAAGTTATCTGCAAACTGGTGTTTGTAAATCATCCTCAAAATCTATTATTTTCTCATCATAGAAGGCGCATGCAAAGTTAACAGCTAAGCAGGTGCATCGGATATCAGGAAAGCAGAAAAAAACATTAATGCCAGACTGAAAGATGGGAATTGTGGATGCAAATACAGCTAACCTGATATTGAAAAGAACCACAAGATGAGAGTCTGAGAACTCCACTATTATATTTCTTCCGTTTTTGACATACCTGAGAAGTGTACATGACATCCCATTCTGCAATTATAGAATGTAGCAACACGGAAGGAATGGATTAAGTGCATTACAATCGCTTTCTACAGATTATATACGGAGCATATTTTAGACTACCATTTTGCATTGATGATAGAAGTCATTGCAAAGTGCAAGGTCAAGTGTGACTGTGAGATCACAGGAAAGATGCAAATTGGAACCATGGGAATTTTAGAAAACAAATAGCTAAAGCAAGCTACTAGGAACAATGATATTCTATCAACTCATCGATGGCAACAGAAAAAACCGATGAGAGCTGTTGAGCAGATATGTAACATTCCAAACGAAAATAGCTTCTACACTACAATAACAAGCAAAATGATTGCAGAGCTACATGAAATTTCAACGGAAGAGGAGAAGATGAATTTACCAACTGGATACTTGTGCTGAGAGTGTAAAGAGTCTTGCATCACCTCAATGTGTCCTCCTTGAAAATTTGAGTCCAGAAGAGGTTTTTGATTTCCTGCACATTCTCCAATCTCCACCAGGAAACCATCAAAAGTTATTGAGTTACCACACTTAATATTTTCATTTGTTTTTAAAAACCGGCTATCCAAAAGTCCTTTGGCAGCATCATAGAGCATGGCCTGGCAGAAAACCACAAATAGGAACTGATAATGACTATGTTTGAGATAATGCTACATACCAAACTTATAAAGTCATAATATTTCACCCAAATTAGTGTGGCACTAGACTCTGACAAGCTGATAATGAACATAAAGAAGGCATTATCCCATTGGTAACAAACAACTGAGGAGATAAACCTTCTTGCAGTGTGAGCCACTCAATGAAACTCGTAAGAACCCATCATGGAACTTCTTGGCTTTTTGAATTAATTGAGTGGTGTACATGACCTGCCATTCTTAAAAGAAAAGGGAGCAGAAAAGGGAAAAACAGTGCATAAGTTACAATCCACTATAAGCAGACAGCAGATTGTCAAAAGAATACAGCCAGAAGACTAAGAATTTTTTCTATCCATGTGAAGCAAGGTTAGATTTTGTAACCTACCTTCTTCCCCAGATTTTGTCTCATAAACGCAACTTGGCGAAGAACTGTACTTATGCATCTCACCTTTCTTGAACTCTGAAATTTGGCAAAACCAGTCACTCTTCATAGCCATTGAATCAATTAACCACACCCTAGGCTTATATGTAACTTCTAGAAACTTTTAGACCAGGTTTAAGCTTCCTTTTAGGAGAAAAGGAGAGCTAAGTTCAACCAAGAGAGATATTAATATTCATATAAGATGTCACTTAATAACATAGACAGAGATTATGTTGTAGTAAGACCCCAAAAGTTCATACAACAATCTTTCATAAGCTCTGAAAAATACTGGAGTACTTCTGTTCCATGCAGTACATATGATATTTAAGGATGATTATAATGGGAACTACAACATATCACCAAATACATTTACCGTTGTAGGTTAGTGTCTAAGTATCCTGCAAGAGAGTAGTTTTGTGTACTCTTCAGATTACATAAAAGAAGCCCTAAAGAATTTAGATGGCACAAAATATGCAAGAGTAAGCCCCCTTCCCCCCTCCCTCCCCCAAAAAAAACAAAAAAAAAGAAGAGGAAAGCTTAGTATGTTGGCACTGAATCTTTTTTGTGTTGAAACAGTATCTGTATGGGAAGAAGCGCCTCACTGAAGTTATATGTATATAAGTTATAAAACAAAACCTCGTTGAAAGTTACATACTCACATAAGAGCAAAAAGTAGCAAAATGCTCAGGTATTATAGCCAAATATTATAGTGCCAACGAAGATGTTGCTTCAAAATGATTTTCCAAAATGTAGTAATACATAGGACAGTAGTTTTCCATGGATAGCAGAAAGATACCCTCTGGGGTTGTGTGCAATCCACTGGCTTCGAGCCTTCGACTAAAAAATTGGCAGACTCAATATGCATTATTGTTGCTTTCACCATGCTGATACGGGATTCTATTGGGTTGTTGTTGTTGTTGTACCATGCAACAACAACAACATTACCCTAGTGCCTCAAAGCCTCCCGTGCATTGCGGCGTAAGGGGGGGTCAGATGTACGCAGCGTGACCCCTATGTTTAAAACCTAGAGCGGTTGTTTCCAGATCACCCATGCAACAAGAACAAAAACATTACCCTGTGATTCATAGGCACCTGCCCATTACGGGGTAGGGAGGGTCAGAAATACATAGCATGACCCCTATGTTTAAAACATAGAGCGGTTGTTTCAGATGACCCATGATGAGGGTTGAAAGTTGCATTTACTAACTGCTACTTCACTATTGAAAGAAACACAGAAAGTTTAAAGAGCCATTTTTCTTTACGCCAACACAAAATGCAAGTAGCTTCTACACTATAATAACGAAAAATGATAATGCATTTTATGAAATTGCTAGCAACTACATAGTTGATGATTCTACCGGCAGGAGAGTAGTGCTGGGAGTGTAATTTATCATGCATCACTTTTCCTCCTTGAAACTTAGAGTCCAGAAGAGGCTTTTGAAAACTTCACATTCTCCAATCTCCACTAAGAAACCATCAAAAGTAATTGATTCGCCACATTGAATAGTTTCATTAAGCTTTAAAAACCTACTATCTAAGAGTCCTTTGGCAGCATCATAGAGCATGGCCTGGCAAAAAACAAAACAAAACAACTTCAAAAAATTAGTTCCTAATAATGAATGTATGACTAAACTAATGCTACATGTTAAGCTCATAATATTTCCTGAAGTTAGCGTGGTACTAGACTTTAGGAATGTTAAGTATATGTAAGCTAGTTGATATGCAGATACTCAAAATAAAGAATGCATGAGAAAGTTGGTCACAAACAATCGAGGATATTGACCTTCTTGCATTGTGAACCATTCATTGAAATTCGTAAAAATCCATCATGAAATTTCTTGGCTTTTTGAGTTAGTTGAGTGGTGTACAAGACCTGCCATTCTTAAAAGAAAAAGGAACAGAAAACAAAAAGAAGTGCATAATTGCAATGAACTAGAAGCATATAGCAGATAGTCCAAAGAAAAAACAAGCAGAACTAAGTTTTTCCTAAGTATGTGAAACAAGGTTAGACTTTCTAACCTACCTTCTTCACAAGATTGTGTCACATCAAGACAACTTGGGGAAGAACTATACTTCTTCACTTCACCTTTCTTGAACTCTGAAATTTGGGAAAATCAGTCACTCCTCTTGACCATTAGATTATTAAACAACGGCCTAGTTTAAAAAGTGAACCAAATTTAACCTATAGAATTGGTATAAGTATTTTCTTAAGGGAAAAGGAGAGCTAAGGTGAGCTGAGAGAAAAGCTGCAAAGTCAGAGAACATCTGCCCTTATAAACTTGGGTAGATTGTAGTGATAGACATGAAGTGATAGTAAAAACCCCAAAACTCATACAGCAATCGTGAGACACTCCGTATATGCAAAATATAATAAATAAATAAATAAATAAATAAATAAGAAGAACTTAAAGCAACACAATTGGTGATAGAGCGTAAGAAAGGGAACATGATTGGCAAACCTCTAATTAGTTTCTGTGATGGGCTTAGAGAACTTGACAATGCTTTCTTTTCCCTGAAATTAGGCTTCTTGTCCTCTGATGAAACACTAACTGATTATTATGATGCTTAAAGGCCAAGCATGTGAGAAGAACAAGATAGTAATGAAGATAATTACCAACAGCAGAGTTATTCCTGAATTTTTGGTTGTGCAATGACCGAGGTTTCAAACCAATATGTTTATCCCTTGCCTCAGAAGTTTTATTTACTATAGGTTTGTGATCACCATGTATATCACCAATATCCACAAGGTAGGAATCAAATGCTAGTGTTTGGCCTGATTCAACATCATTTTCGATCTTTATAAACTTACTACCCAAAACCTTTTCACAATCATCGTAGAGAATAACCTGCTTAAAGAATTAAAAATACAAATTATAAATCCTAAAATACTTCAATTGTTGTACCATATCAACAGTACATTAGCAATTTTACCTGATTGACACATATTATAATATTCAATTTATGTTTAAAAAAAACATTAATGAGGAAAATTCCATTTAATGATTACATCTTGGACAATCCTATTACATTTTTTAAAGCTGCGCGACTTGGGCAATCTAGACATATAAATTGGAATGAAGGGCGTATAGTAAGTTACATTCCAATGCGTGCTTGTATTGATTAATTTATCCATTTCTTCTACTGATGAAATTTTTAAGAGGTTATAACAAAGTGATATGGACAATTTCTAAACCATTCCTATATTAAATTTTTAAAAATAAAAAAAAATCAAAGCATCAACAACAAATGCAAGACTGCTACAATAATAAGATCGGTTCCAGAGAATCAAATCTGCTCAATTTCAACTCCGGCTCTAGAGATCAGTTATCTCAACACTTTGCTTTTGTAAAACAGGGGAAAAAAGAGAAAAGGAAACAAGTTCGATACAGAGATATTACGAAAATGATTCAGTAATTACACATTACAAGCGATTGAAATTCCACTGATGAATATGAGGATGACTTGCCTTGTGGCTTGAAGATTGAACCTCTAGAAACCCGTCTTGGTACACTTTGCGCTTCTGCTTGATGTGCTTCGTGTACGTCACGCTCCACCGCTTCACGTCCCCCACCATCGGCGCCGGAAGTAGCGTCGGAATTCAAACAAACTCTCTCAGCTATCGGAACTCCCGATGTGACTCCGTAGATGAGAACAAAATTAATCGGAAAATGGCGCAGAATGCATCTCTAAAGAGCGGGAAAATTAGAAATTAGAATGCTCCGTCATCGGATTAGCTGCGGATTAGAGACTGGAGCGAAGGGAGAAAAAAAGACCATAAAAGCACATCAAATAAATTAAATACTCCCTATTTGAAACATACGGAGTATCAAACTTAACAATAATATCACTTTAAGTATGTTATGAAATTTCATTTAAAAAATATGAAAATTATTAATGTTATTGGTTCGATTATAATGTATTCAATATGTGACGAAATAATGATTCCTTGAGTCTAAAATATATTATTCAGCTATGACATAAATGCCTACAAATAATATCCATAATATATAATATAAGAACACGATAATTAACTAGTGTAGTCTACCTATCAATTTTACGAATCATCACAGGAAAAATTAGCAGTTATGAATCAATCTTACAGTGCATCATACTGAGTCAAATATAGTGGAGCCAGTGAGATTATACGGAGAATGAGACTCATCAAATACAACAACAACAACAACCCAGTTAAATCCCACAAGAGTAGGGTCTGGGGAGGGTGTGTGTACGCAGACCTTGCCCCTACTCGAAAGTAGAGAGGCTGTTTCCAAAGAGACCCCCGGCTCAACGTCGAAAGTTGCATTGCTTGACTAACTGCTACTTCATTAACTAAAGAAGCGCAAATAGTTTAGAAATCCATTTTGATTTATTCCATCACACCCAAAGCCAAAAAATAGTGAAATTTTGGCTCCAAAAAGTGTTATTGTTTTGACTCACTTCTCCAAAAAGTGGACCTCGTTCTAATAGCTCTGAAAAAACTAAATACGTGTATTAAGTTACGAAAGCTTCTTAGTTCACGACAGAAAAGTCTTTTTTATTCTTTCCTATATGAGGTGATTTCAGTGGAAAAAATGTTCCATATTAATATATTAGGGTCCATATGAGGCCCAATGCACGAGATATTGTAGTACTAACCAATGAGGTCCTATCGATTGCTATAACATAGAAAAATCAATTATAAACACTAATACAATTCGATGCACTCAAAGGGCAATTCACCAAGTAACATAACCTCCACAATAAAGAAAAAAAGGACGGGCCCCATCTAAGAAGACCTTTCAGAACCAGTCAGAGTCACCTGAGAAGGATCATTTAAGTTACAATCACAAAATGGCTGACAAAGAGTGAAATCTCAACATAATATTTACAGAAGTCTTATGCTTAACATACTTGTTTCTTAGCGCTATTGGCAGAAATCAAACTCGGGTCTAACCTCTTTGGCCCCCTTTTTAACTAGCTGAGTTACACCCACCAACAAGCCTACAATATAAAACAAGATACATTGTGCCCTCTATTATTATTCATATCACTATTCATCATTATTGTAAGAGCTTTGAGCTTCATTAATGGCTAAAACATCATGTATTGTACTAGTAATTTTTAATAAATGATAAAATACCCATTTTATCATGTTGCTACCTAAAACGACTCGTGATTTTATCCTGTTTTGAATTTCCATGTAAATATCACGTGTTCATCACACATTTTATATTTTTTAGTTAATATTCGAAATTAAAAACTTCCACATATGTACTTATTTTACATACCCGATGGGTTAAAGTCCATCAATAAGTAGTAAATACATATATATATATATATATATATATATATATATATATATATATATCAATATAGGTACTATAAAAGAGACATAATATACTCCCTCCGTCCCAAATTATTTGCAACATTTGCTTTTTCAGCAGTCGCGAGAACTTTTGTTTATTTCTACGTTTTCATTGGTTATTTGATAAAATAAAATATTCTTGACACCTCTTATTTTAAAGAACTTTTCATGTAGTTTTTTTATATGTAAATTTTATTTTTTATTTTTATAAGAATATGTAAATAAAATGAATAGAAAAAACTTAATATTTTGTCTCGGGAATACAAATGTGGCAAATATTTAGGGACGGAGAGAGTATGTGTGTAAAGAATTGTAGAATTGCATCCTTGCAAATGATGTAATTTCTTGACATCATTTCAATTGAGACACATATGATACTATATCTGTATAATTGACTGATCCTACATGCTCATACTCCGCTCACATTCAGCCATTTGACAATTAGCCCATTTTTTATGGCGTTCGAATGAGAGCATAATTTTAAACTCCAATGAAATACAAAGACTATAAGTGTAACATTTTGAAAGTTAACCCTCGCCATTAAAAAAATTATTCAAAACGCTAATTGAAAACATTATTCCAAAACAAGGTCAAACTCATCATAATTGGCCACAGTTGAACCATATAACTGGAGTTCAAGTTTTAAGTAAATACAGTATAATTCCAATCAAGTTTGAAAAGGAAAAAATAAGTAAATAGATTCCGCTTGAGCTTGGGAGTGAGAAAAATCTCGTCTTGTTACAGTCTGAAATAACCAGAGACATCTCTAAATCTTTTGAGAAAATTCTTTCCATTGCATATTCAAAATTTCGAACGATTCCCCGCCTTTTTTTAAAAAATTTGTTCAACAAAGGAAGAAGGAACTACCGCTTCTTTCTCCCGCCCTTTCCTTGCTTGGAAGAACCGGCGGCGGCGGCAGAGGAGGAGGGTGCAGGCTCCTGCTTCTTTATCCTATTGGCATGTTTAGGCACCAATTCTGCAACATGGATCATCAGCTCTTTCCCTGCAATGCAGTAATAATGTATTTTCTGAGATTTAGCTATGAAAGAAAACAACTCTATGGCAAGTTGGAATGTGTTTATATTTTATAGTAACAATCATAGAGGATGTTTTTTTTGTTCTCTAACACCCAAGGATTCCAACAAATTCTAATGGATCATTTTCCACTATTACCCTTCTTCATATATACTCCCTTTGTCCCGATTCAGTTCTCCACATTTTTGTTTCCGTTTGTCCGAAATCAATTTGACCACCACATGGAGTAATCAGAAGGAAATGTACCCAAAATTTTCCTTCCCAGTATAACTACATTGTCCTTTTGTTTGGAATCACCAGTTTCAGGGGAAAAGTGGAAAACGAAGTATACAAATTGGAGAAGCATAGTGGAGTGAAGCCATGACGACATTTTACTACATGCTACACAAGGGCTAATATGACATTTGCCGAATTAACCAAACAGCTTCAGAACTTATTCATTCTGGATGCACTTATTAGATGAAGTCTGATACCCCAACTCTGACTGACTAAAAGCATAAACATCACCTAACATCGGGCACTAATAATTAACAACATAGAGCACTGCTAATTCAGGCACTTCTTAGCAAGAAGCTAGGAAGCATTTTTGCATTCAGAAACTCCCACTAAACCAAGAAACTGACCATAGAACTTCTTTGAGCTGTTAAATTGATGGGGTATGGATAGATGAAAACGTGGAGTATAAAATATAGTAATATACCTGGCTCGATCTCAAATCATATACCTGTCGCCAAATAGGTTGGGCCCAATGTAAAAAGTTAGGATCAGCCCATGAAGGAATTGGCTGATAAATGGACTTGACCGTACAAGTAGAAGGGACAGGGATAGACTGCTCGCCCAAGACAAATATTCTTCCGAATGAGTCTAAGGGACATTGGACGGAAGAATATTTGTCTGCCCTCTTCCTCAATCCTAGAACTCTAAAAGTGACTGGAGGAGATTAACTACAGAGGCGAGGGGTCAAGAAAGACCATCCTGCATCTTCCATGAAGCAGCACTCCAACCTCCAACCACTGGAAGGTATGGTGGTTGCGATTAGAAGCTAATCCGTACTATAAATTGAAAGTATGAATATGTAGACGGCATTTTGTAACTAATGAGAGAAGAGCAATTAAAGAGTAATAAAAGAATATTCTGACAGCCTTTGAGTTTAATTCCTTCCAGAGTCGCCCTTTGTGTGTTCTTTTCTCCATTTTTTCACCCATATCAAAGATAGTGTAGTCACAAAACAGTGAATCCATCAAGAATCAACATCATTTATAAACTGGAGGAAAACACTTTAGTGGTAGATGCCCTCTCTACGGTGCATGAAGGATAATTACATTGGCATGAGACTCATAAGGATGACAAGCTGCAAAAAATTGCAACTCCTTGCAACAAGATGCAAGTTTCAAACCTGAATTTTCTTTGGTCAATGGGGTCCTTTATTATCATGACAGATTGGTGTTACCCCTCTATCTCGCAGCTTTCCAAACTCCTGTAGCTAGCCTATAGGGGTTCTTGACTATCTAGTCAGTCGGGTTTCTATAGAATGTATCATAAAATTGATGCAAATTAGTCTGGAATGAAGACTCGGGTCGAGGAATTCATGTACGCTTGTGATCAAGGTAGTCAAACTCGAGATTCTATGTTGGATGCCTGGGCTCAATAAAGATCGTAACTCGAATCCTAAGATCCTATATATATATATATATATATATATATATATATATATATATTTGTGTGTGTGTGTGTGTGTATATATATATAAACACACACATACACACACACACATATATACATTATAGACACACTAATTGAACACACGTGTTTTAATTAAAGAGAAAGATGATAAATTTTTTAAAAAAACTTGGACGCTGGGCAAAAAAGCCACCGCTATCTACCCTCTTGTAGAATTAAACGTTGAAGCAAAAAAGCAAAATGAATTCAATTAAACATAGAAAAAAAATTAATACTATAAATTAAAATTATACTTGGGTAAAAAAGTGAAAGACCCAAATTGTAAAGGAAGAGAAAGGCAGAAGGGTCGTGTGAAGTCAGAGATACTGCACAAGAGATACTGCACAAGGTCTTCTTTGTAAATATTTGTGTGCGTATTGCTGTATTCATATGAAAGAAGGCTAATTTGTACGGGAAGAGTAGTTCGGAAGAGTCATCGATCCCAGCCAATTCTCCGATCTTACGTTCCCAATCGTCGATCCAAACGATTCTAAGAGGGATTGCAATTTTAGCCGTGATTCAGATCGGAATGGGCCTAGCAATCTGCGGAATTGTACAATCGTACGATCTGGATCGCGAGTTTGACTACCATGCTTGTGATGTGTGTCAAAGAAAAAAGTACAATGCAACTTCTCCCGTAAGGCTGCTACAGCATCTGAATATTTCAGTGGATATCTTAGAAAAAACCTCTGTGGATTTCAATATGGGTTTTCCCAAATCCTGGCTATTTGAACCGATATTTGTGTCCTCTCTAAATACATCCATCTCAGATTCTCAGCCATGTCATGGGCATAGTATGTTTGGATGGTATTTCCCCCCTCTATTCTTAGTATCATGATTCAGATTTAGTGACTCTTCTTTGGTAGGGGTTGTTCAAGTTGCAAGGCACTCCACTTAAAATGAGCACAGCTTACCATCCTTAAACGCGTGCACAAACAGCAGAGATAAATTGATTTTTAGAGACGCACATGTGATGCTCCAATGCAGATAAGCCTAAATTGAATCCATTGGTTGCACTAGACGAGTTTTGGAATAAAACTGCTATCCATGGCTCCACCAGTACTTCACCTTCTAAAACACAGTATCGACGAAAACATCAAGCCTTTGTTCATTTTTATCAAGGAGAAAGCCGAGAAACACGAGTTACTGCTGTGAACAGAGAGTTTGTATATCATGACGAAGCATTGAGAAATATGAAGCACCATCTGTTGCAAACACCAACCTGCATGAAAATCAAGCAGATACTAAGAAGTTGGACTGTTACTTTGAAGAGGGCAATTGGGTGCTCTTGAAGTTGCATCCACATCGCCAACAATCCTTAACAGATAGGGTCAATCCTAAGTTGGCAGCCAGGTATGAATATTATGGTCCCTATTAGGTACTACAAAAGATAGGATCCGTGCCATATAAGTTTCTTCTGCCCCCACATTCATGGATTCATCATGTAATTGATGTTTCCTTGCTTGAGAAGATGGCGGATGATTATCATGTGCAGTCCAAGCTTCTACAGGAATGGGATGGCAAACGTACTACAAATCCACTGCCTGCCATGATTCTAACAACAAGGTAGATTACTAACGGAGAGACTTCCACTCAATGGCTCATTGAGTAGAGGGGGAAACCTGCTCCGGAAACAACATGGGACGATGAAGTCACAATCTGTATAACCTCACATCAGCCTTGAAGACAAGGCTGCTTTTGAAGGAGAATGCAATGATAGAGCCTCTGAGGATACTATGAACCCAATTACACTTTTAGGGTATCCTCGTTCTAATGGCATTCGGAAAGTGCATACTCATAGGAATATAAAGGCCAGGAGAAAGGTGCTAAGCTGGCAGAGAGGTTATGCTGCAGGAGTTTGTTAGAAGAAATACCAGATTTCATTCTATTATAATGAGAGAGGCTGAGGGGTAGGGGAATATTTGTTGTTTTATTTATACTCCCTCTGTCCCATACTTTCTTCTCACTTTCCTTTTCGGGCCGTCCCACTTGATGCTTCCCATTTCCTTATTTGGCAAATAACTTTTGCCAAAAAGACCAATACGCCCTTCTTTTTCTTTTCTTCTTTAGTTTCTTATTTCTACCAACTCCCACCTCATTTCTTATTCCTGAATCATTCCTGAATCGTGAAAGCCCC